GTCAATCTCACTATTCGTTGGTAAAAGAGTAGCCCAAGAGTTGGCGGCGGTTGGACTAGCTGCCTTCCCTCTAGTCTTACACTGCTAAATTAGGGACGGCTAGCGCAGATAGCCCTCGTGTAGCTTTGCGCGAAATTCCAAAAAACAAACAAAACAATAAACTTCCTTGATAATGACAGTAAGTGTTCATTGATTATTTTATACTGATGTGTCAGTGGTAGATATGGAATGTGTATGAACGAAAGCTATGTTCCCTGGTGGGTCAATGGTAAGTTTGTGGACTTACAACGCTCAAACCCGAGGTTCGATTCCTAACTAACGAATGCTAGGAACACGTATAAAAGGACATTCATTGAGATCTGAGAACATTTTCAGAGTAGCCATCAGATTTCTTACAATTTTTAACACGAGTATAAACTATAGACCACAGTTAAAGCAGAAAGAAAACAACAGCTGAGAAATAATTGTAGTTTACTAAGTGATCAGAAAAACTTGACTTGATCCAAGAAGATCCATTTGTTCGGTTGCTAATTCATTTGGTAAGAATGTTGGAAGCTATCCAGATTTATAGTAATGCAATCTCAGTAGCCAAACTGTGTTAATGTCTTTACCGAAACAAAAAAAAAACACAATCTCATATCAAACATGCGTAATTCCATTAGGTAGCTTCTCATGTTATCAAACTTAGTGGAATTTTGTAAACCTTTTGCAAGCTGGTGTGTACCATTATTTTGGTGAAAATCTCGTAATAACACCTGCGCACCTGGTAAACTGTAGGCTAGACTGATTCGATCACATTTTCAAACTGAAAAATATTAGAGGTCTAAATTAGTATTAACCCTGATATATGAAGCGAATTAAGTAGAATACTGATTATAATTCGGGTAGAAACAGTCCCATTTTTGTTTGACTTTATAATTAAAACAATACACGTATATGTTTAGAAGTAAACTTACAAACGCTGGTTTTCGACAATAATCTTAAAAATACGTTATATTTACAGATTTCATCGGAGTTTGATCAACATGCCATGTTACCGAGGTCTGTCGAGTTTGATCAACATGCCACGTTACCGAGGTCTGTCGAGTTTGATCAACATGCCACGTTACCGAGGTCTGTCGAGATTCTAGAACATCAAGCAGTGACGGCTTCCTCATGTAACCATCCTCACAGCGGTGCCAGAAATAGAATTTATGACCAATATATGGACTGGCCAGATGACCGTGATCCCTATCTTGATGACTATGGCCCTCTCGAAGCACACGGTTCGGAGTCAGACCAAATCGCGACTGTAGTGGATTATGACTCACAGCATGACCAAGACGTATTAAACGATACAAATTACCACAGAGATCAGAGACGTGCTCGTCATCCAATGAATGGTGTCTAGTACACTAAGACGCAAGAAAAAAATTGTATACACGTTTCTGGCTTACAAGTGTTGTTCCATATATATATGTGTCTGTGAGGGAAATAACATTGGATATGTAGTAAATAACCTTCGACAGGCATTGTGGATCGTAGTGAATAATGTCCATTAAGTATTATGGATATCTAGTAGCTAATTCCTAATAAGTACTGTGGAATACAATTTCAACAGATTTTCTAAGTATTCAGCACACAACCTCCAACGGGTATTCTGGAATATAGTAAATAACGCTAAGAGGTATTGTGAAATCTAATAAGTAACTTTAAAGATATTCTGGAATATATTAAATAACCTCAAGCAGATATTCTGGAATATAGTAAATGACCTCCAACAGGTACTCTGGAATACAGTAAATAATATTAACAAGGACTCTGGATATCTAGTGTTAAACCTCCAACAGGTACTCTGGAATATAGTAAATAATATTAACAAGAACTCTGGATATCTAGTGTTAAACCTCCAACAGGTACTCTGGAATATAGTAAATAATATTAACAAGAACTCTGGATATCTAGTGTTAAACCTCCAAGAGGTACTCTGGAATATAGTAAATAATATTAACAAGAACTCTGGATATCTAGTGTTAAACCTCCAACAGGTATTGTGGAATAGAATAAATAACCTAAAAAAGATAATCTGGATATCTAGTGTTAAACCTCCAACAGGTATTGTGGAATAAACGAACTCCAATAGATATTGTAGAATGTAGTAAATAACCCTCTTCCAACAGGTATTATGGTATTTAATCAGGTGTTTATTTTGGAATCTATTGAATAACATCCAACTGGTATTCTTTACATGTAGATCATAACATCTGGTAAGTATTTTGGATGTTCAGTACGAAACCTCCATTAGATAGTGTAGATATCTAGTAAAAACCATAAGAAATATATTCTAGGTACTCAGTAGATAACGTCCAGTAAGTATTCTTTATATAAATTAACGACTCTCAACACATATCCTGAATACCAGTAAATGAAAGCAAATAAGTGTTATGAACATCTAATTCTATAACCTGTAGGTAGTATTGTGGATATCAGTAAATAACTTCTTACAGATATTATGAATATCATTTAATAATTCCAAGCAGTTATTGTGAGTATCAATAAAAAACTTCCAACAGGTTTTGTAACAGATAACAATTAGTTACTAGCAAAACCGGGTCTTCTTGATATTTAATAAATAACCTATAAAACACATTATACATGTACATTGTAGAATACAGTAAATAACCTCAAAAAAGACACTCTGGATATCTAGAGCTAAGCCTTCGACAGGTATATATATATAGATAGATAGATGTCAATAAATAATCTCAAAGATATCTTGTGTAAATTACCCCCAGCAGATATTGTGAACATATGCTAATAATGTTCAACAGTTATTTGTGGATATCACTAAGTAATAAGTTACAAATATTCAGAAAAAAATATATATATACAAAATATTCTGTACATAAAGTACGGGCATTAAGTAAATTAGTAAAAAACACAGATATACTGGATATTTGATAAGTACCATGACCAATGTGTCGTTTCTTTGTAATTACAAGAATTTTATGTCTACTGAAACAACGTATTCTTTCGAAATGAACACGTAAAGTAAGGTAAAGTGTTCAAAAAAAAATGTTTTCAAATGTGTTATAAATAAATCTAAATATTTATTTTGGCTTAGAAGAAACACAGCATCCTGGATCGTTGCATATCTTAAGATGTAACTCAACGAGCAGGATATGTGATATAGTTGTGTATATGTCACGATATAACATTTAAAAATAATCGTGTCACTCTGTATATATCATGTACATACGTTCCTAACTACTGCTGCAGGCAAGAAACAAAAGAATTGATAATGCTTTCCGTACTAACCATTTTGAATATACATAAATAAAACTGGTAAACTTTGTTAGATTGTTTTTGTTTCACGTACGCCTATATGTTTAGCTTCGTTGTTGACTGGAATTAGAATCATTTCTTGTTGATGGTATATTTTATTCTCTTGTATGTAAAATGGCTACGGATTAAACGAACATGAACTTGGACGGTTTCATCGCCAAGAATATATTGATATCAATACAACTGAACACGTTCTTTCGTTACAATTATAACACAAAAAGAATTAATGATTCACTTTACTGTATCAGTTTTAAATATGTATACTTGATTTTATTGATAACTACACGTCATGCATTCATTATACGATAACTTTAAACGACACTACTTTCATGAGTAGAACAAAGGCTATGTAGAAACAGGAATCACAAATATTAGCAATGCCTACTGATTACTAAGTCGAAGGAACGTGCCCCCCAGTGGCACAGCGGTATGTCTGCGGACTTACAACGCTAGAAACCGGGTTTCGATACCCGTGGTGTGCAA